GGAGGCACACGCCCGAGCGATGCCAGGCCTGCAGCGGGAGCGTCAAGAGGAGCAACAAACACATGCAACCATACTCTTTTGGCGCGCCGCGCGCAACCAGAAACCTCCATGGCAGAACTAGTGCTGTCCGTTCCATTCTCTAGAACTAGAAGAAGGAACAACAACACATGCAACCATACGTCAACCAGCGTCAAGAGGAACAACCAACACATGCAACACATGCAACCATACGCTTTTGGATCCGCGCTGGACCCCCCTCCCTGGCACGCGGAGCGCGGCAGGGCGGCGACAGAGGCGCCGCCCAGGGGGCCCAGCGCGGATCCAAGAAATCCGCGCGGAGCGCACAGAGCTTCAACGTGAACAATTTCGTCTTCTTTTTCTTCTTCTTCTTCGAGCTGCGGCACGCCGTCGATCCATGGTGCGACCTCGTGCACGCGGCTCGGCGCCTCACGCTGCTGCCATGAGGGGCAGCGATACGTAGGGGGAAACTGACACGGGGGGGAAAGCTCGACCTGGAATAGGCGGTGCATCACCGGTAGATCGGCGATAGGATCCGAATGGGGGCCATCGGGCCCCCTATCGGCGACCAATGGGCGACTGGGGGTCGATGCGTCCCCCCTTTATGCCTATCCCCCCTGTCGTTGCCCTTATGGTGCACACCACGCGGCGGGGCAGGTCGTAGAGCCTGCGCCCAGCCTTGGCCGCCTCATCGGCCAGGCCAGTCCCCAGCTGCTCCCAGGACACCTCGGTCCGGTGGCCCTGCATGCGTCGGAGAGCCGGATGAGCGCGTCGCCCGCGGTGCCCAGACCGCCGTGCTCGTCGATGCAGTGCCGCGGCCGCTCCCCCGGGCCCGTGCTCTCGCGCCGCGGACTCGTGCACCAGCGGCGGCCTCGAGCGAGGCCCTCCAGCAACGGCAGGCGGCCGGTGCAGATGTGCAGTGAGGCCACGCCGACGACCAGGACCTGGGAGACAACGTGCATCGCGACTCTCGGGGATGTCCGGCGAAGCCCCGTACCCGGTCGCCCTCCAGCACCGTGAACCCCCAGCCTGGGCAGGCAACGACATCCCAAAGCGGCAACCGGCACGCGAGCCGTCCGAGAACACCGTGCCGGCGACATGCAACTGCGGGGAGCGGTCGAAGTACAACGTTCCACAAGCATCCCGCGGCGGCAATGCTGGCAAGGACGACAGTGGAACAGCGCTCTGGAGAACAGACGGTCACCAGGCACACCCAGATATGCCGCCTCCAGCGTGGCCTCATGGACCGCTGCAATGCGCAGGCCATCCGCTTGAGGGTAACACCAGCACCTGCGGTGCAAGACCCGCCAGCGACGCAAGCAATGCGGCTGGTTGACGTGGGCGAATTGGTAGAGGCGCTGCTGGGAAAAGTGGCCCCGATGGCGGCAGCCTGGAGAGAGGAGGAGGAGGAGGAGGAGAAAGAGGACGAGGAGGAGGAGGAGGAGGAGGAGGAGGAGGAGGAGGAGGAGGGAGGAGGAGGAGGAGGAGGAGGGAGGAGGAGGAGGGGGAGGAGGAGGAGGAGGAGGAGGAGGAGGAGGAGGAGGAGGAGGAGGAGGAGGACAAGCAAGGTGCGCTCGCGTCATATCTGACATCCTACCCCTCCCTCCCATCCCTTACCATGGCGTAGAGCCCCTCTCTACTCGCACCGTCGGATGTTGAGCAGGGCAACGATCCCGAAAGGGTACGCGATGCATTGTAGAGCACGGCATGGCATGGCGTAGAAGAGCACCGCAAAGCGTAGTCTGTCACAGCATGGCGTGGCGTGGCATAGTGAAGAATTGTATCATTAAGCTTTGCAACGCCAAGCCTGGCATCGCATAGCGGCCCCGAACATGACATTGCATGGCATGGCGTTGAAGATCAAAGCGTAGCATGGCATAGCATGACGTGGCACTTACGCACTGGATATGACAACTGCAACCGAAGGCATGGCATCGCGCAGCGGAACGCAACCTAGCATTGCATTGCATGTCGTGGCATGGCACGGGAAATGACGCCAGCGCTGCAGCGGGAGCACGATTCGGAACGAGCGGAAGCGCGGAAATGAGGCCAACGCTGCAGCGGGAACACGATTCGGAACGAGCGGAAGCACGGACATGAAGCCAACGCTGCAGCGGGAGCACGATTCGGAACGAGCGGAAACCCGAAGATGAAGCCCGCGCCTCAGCGAAAACATCATTTTGTAATTTCAAAAAGAAAACCAACTCCGGGAAAATGCTGCGTGTAAAAAATAGTACGCGGAGGGATGCCCGCTATCTTCCGCACGCCATCAGGGGGAGGAGAGTAGTATTCATATTGTGCCACTGTGGAGGAGGAGGAAGAGAGAAGGAGGAGACATAAGGAGGAGGAGGAGGAGGAGGAGGAGGAGGAGAAAGAGGACGAGGAGGAGGAGGAGGAGGAGAAGGAGAAGGAAAAGGAGGAGGAGGAGGAGGAAGAGGAGGAGGAGGCGGAGGAGAGTGAGGAGGAGGAGAGAGGAGGAGGAGGAGCAGGAGGAGGAGGAGGAGGAGGAGGAGGAAAAGGAGGAGAAAGAGAAAGAGGAGGAGGAGGAGGAGGAGGAGGAGGAAGAGGATGATGATGAGGAAAATAAAAAATAGTTCACAACCATCCTGTGGTATGGGGTCCTTTTTTTGAAGAGACAATCCCCGCTTCCACTCCTCTACGTCTCTCCTCCTCCTCCTCCTCGTCCTCCTCCCCCTCCTCCTCCTCATCCTCCTCCCGCTCCTCCATGTTCCTCCTCCTGCTCCTCCTCCTCCTCCTCTTCCTCCTTCTCCCGCGTGTCCATCCCCCCGTCACCCCCGTCAAACTGGCACACCCCTCTCTCGCTTCGTGGCCCCAGAAGGACCTCCTGCGCCCGCATGCCGCCACCTCCTCAATTTGGTACACCCCTCACACGTTTCTTGGCCCACAGGGTGCTCCACCTTAAGCCCCAGTGGCTGCTTCTGCATGCCGCCAACCCGTCACTTCGGCACACCCCTCACACGTTTCGTGGTCCCATAGGGAGCTCCATCTTTTGAGCCCCAATGGATGCGCCCGCATGCAACCACCCCCTCATTCACCTGAGGCCCCACCAGCTGCGCCCGCATGCCGCCACCCCTTCATTTTGGCACACCCTTCACACGCTTCGTGGCCCCATAGGGAGCTCCACCTAAAACCCCAATGGCTGCGCCCGCGTGCCGCCACCCTCCCGTTTTGGCATAACCCGTTCCTGCTGACTTCCGCGCCCCCATGCGGGCCGCCCCAACGACAGCGCCCGCATGGCGGCCCCACCCTATTTCGGCGCTCTTCATGCATTTCGCGGCTCCGTCGAGAACTCCACCGATGGCGGCTCTCACACCGGCGGTACCCTCTCACACAGGCGGTGCCTTTTGGGTCCTTCGCCAAGAGAGCTTGTTGAACTCCACGCCACGCCCAACTCCTCCTGACGGCTGTGCGAAACTACCGACGACGGCACCAAAAAACTAATCCGAACTGTCAGACCGCTCCACCGCCTTCGGCATGAGCGGACCCTCGTCCTCCTCGAGGGCGACAAAGGAGCGGATGCGCTGGAGGGCGACATGGCAAGGAGGCAGGCAAGGAGGGAGGAAGAGAGGAGAAGCAGGACAGGAGGACAAGGAGGAGGAGGAGGAGGAGGAGGAGGAGGAAAAGGAGGAGGAGGAGGAGGAGGAGGGGGGGGAGGCGAAGGATGAGGATGAGGAGGAGGAGGAGGAGGAGGAGGAGGAGGAAAAGGAGGAGTAGAGAGGAGGAGGAGGAGGAGGAGGAGGAGGAGGAGGAGGAGGAAAAGGAGGAGGGGAGGAGGGAGGAGGGAAGAGGACGAGGGAGGAGGAGGAGGCGGAGGATGAGGAGGACGAAAAGAAGACAGAGCTGGAACATTAACATGGGGGGGCCGGGTCCTGGGGGCAACGAATCCCGGGATCCCAGGGCCTTTCCCCAGGACGACCTCTTTTTACGACGGCATGGGAGCAATGAACAAAATCTTTTCGAAATGTAATTTAAATTGATGGGTGCCCCCACGCTGGGCACTACTGCCACACTGCGCATCGCTGACGCCTTGCGCAGCACCGCGGCAGCACGACAAATCTTGTTATACAGTTCTGCGCTCGCTGCTGCGGGGCGCGACCGCCTATCGCCCAACGGCCGGCGCCGACGCGGCGCTGCACTCGAACGCTCGCGCTCAAACGCGCGTGTCTGGCAGAGGGGGGGGGGGCAGCCCGAGGATAATGGATAATGGATGGATGGGAAGGGAATGGGAAGAAGAGAGCGAATGGGCAAATCGCACGAGAGTGACAAAAGCGGGCGTCGATGCAAGAGATCCTTCCCTCAACCGCACTCCGCGAAGTCCGAGAACAAATCGAAGAGGCCTTTTGGAAGGGGCGCCGCGCCAATATTCGCGGGGGCTGGTAAATTGTTCGGCGCGCGCGACGGCTTCGCAGAGGGTCGTTTTGATGCGCGCGCACTTCGCGATCGCCTCGTAAACGTCGGCGGGTAGATCGCGCGCGTCGGCCAAGTCCTCGCTTGAGGACATTCGGTGCCAGGCAAGAGGGAGCGGCGTATTCATCGGGCGCCTCTTGGCGCCGCCCTCCTCAGCATCGTTCGTCACGATGACAGCGCCAGGCTTCTCGATGGCGCCTGCATCTGGTGGTGCCAGCGCCTGATGGCCCTGCGTCTCGGCACGCGCGCCTGACGCGCACACTTCCACGCGCGAGAGGGCGCCGCGGGTCACGCGCGCACCTGGCGATGCGGGATTGCGCAGGGCCTGCGGCGCAGCGAGGTGATGGGCGAGACGTCGGCGCCGCCGGCTGCACAGACAGAGCTGGCGAAGATCTGAATGGCGGAGGTATGGCACATCGGGGATGTGGGGTCCAGCGGGTCCTCTCGGGCCTTCTCGAGAGGTGCATTGTACGGCTCGGTGATGCCGATGCTGTCTTTCGTGTCGTAGGGCACGCGAGCGCCACGCCAGGGCGCCGCAGGCGTGTCCATGATCGAGTTCTCGGGGTAAGTAGTTGCCTTCAGCGCGCGCAGCGCCTCGCCCGGAGGTGTCCCGAATGTGGCTCCCCATCGCACAGCTCGTAGATGTCGACGGTGCCGGTTTTGTTGGGCACGTGAGCGCCACGCAGGGGCGCCACAAGCGTGTCCTTCGTCAGGTGGAGCGTCACGGTGTGCGAGGTCCTCTCCGCCCTGCCGGGCTGCCTCGGCGGCGCGAGGAGCACTGGAACACCCAGCCATGTGGCGCAATAGCTGCATGGGTGCCCGCGCGAATGCGCGGGTGGAGGGGGAGAAGAGTGCGCGGCCGACTTCCGGGAACGGGTTCGAGCCGTTCGTGGCCTTGGACGACCTCTTCGTTCCTGAGTCGATCCCTGACGGTCCCTGAGGGCCCGAGAACAACAAAAACCCGTTCCTCAGGATCTGTTCCCCTCAAGAACAGGGGGCCCGAAAACATCGAAAAACCAAGGACCCGTTTCCCTCAAAACCCGTTTCCTCCTCCTCCTCCTCCTCGTCCTCTTCCTCCTCCTCCTCCTCCTCCTCCTCCTCCTCCTCCTCCTCCTCCTCCTCCTCCTCCTCCTCCTCCCTCCTCCTCCTCCTCCCCCCTGCTCCCCCTCCTCATTCTCCTCCTGCTCGTCCTCTTCCTCCTCCTCCTCCTCGTCGTCCTCCTCCTGCTCCTCCTCCTCCTCCTCCTCCTCCTCCTCCTCCCCCTCCGCCTCCTCCTCCTCCTCCTCCCAGGGAGGGTCGGAGGAGGAGAGGGAGCCGGAACAGGAGATCGCCCACGTCTCGGCCGGCCCCTGCGCCCCTCCGCCCCGCGCAAGGGGGGGCGCCCGCGCCTGCCGCAGGCGCGCGCGCTGGCGCCACTTGGCGCCGCCGTCGCCCTGGGGGGGCCCCGCGGGGGAGAGGGGGCGGGGGCACCGGCGGGGGAGAGGGAAGGGTGGCGGCGGGGGGCGGCGCGCACAAGGGGGTGGGGGAGGCCTCTCAGAAGCGAGCCTGCCTCCGAAACGCCTCCTTCCCCCCTCTCCCGCCGCCCCCTGGGTGCGCGCAGTCGAGGAGGGGGAGAAAAGGGGGCCAGATCGGTCAGCATGGAAGCGGCACATCGGGTCGAATCGACATGTGAATCGGACAGGGCTGCACCGGCATGGCATCAAAATCAGATCGGCCGCGCCACCAGGACGTACAGCAGCGCCATACGAGCACCGGGCCGCAGCGGATCGCCCGAACATCTGAATCGGCTCGAGTCGGAGCCGATGCCGCATCGGATCGATCGGATCGAAGCAGGCCCCGGAGGGCAGAAGGGAGCAGGAGGGCCCAGAATCGAATCGACAAGTCGAATCGGAGATCGAAATTAATCGATCGGCGGAAATCGGCAGCCAAGTCGGGAGGAGTCGAATCGGCAGAAATCGGCAGAGTAGTATACCTCCAGTGAGACATCGGAACCCACATCGGAATCCCAAGTCGAATGGAATCGGAATCGGAAGCCATCGAAGTCGAATCGAATCGAATCGAATCGGAGGAATCGAGACGAGCCCTGAGTGAGGAGCACAAGGTGCGCTCGCGCCAGGTCTGACATCCGACCCCTCCCACCCATCCCTTCTCGTGGGGCTGTTTGTGGAGGCCTGGAAATGGGCACCAATACCAACACAGGGGTTTGCCTCCACAGAGGGAAGATGATCCTCGATTTTCGGTGTTGGTGGTAACATTTCGGCCACCTCGGAAGCCTGAGTATTACCACCATCACCGAGATCGGGATCTTCTTCCTTCGGTGAAGGCACACCGCCGAAATTGGTGTGGTGTCAGCATCTAGGCCTGCGATATGTCTTTCTCTGTCGTCGGACGCGTGTCATAGCGGACCTGGAAAACCAATGAGGGCGTTTTCATATTCTCACCCCAGCAACGTCCTTGACGGGGGGTTCTGGCCGCCGTGGGCGGCTGATGGCAACGTGGCGGCAACGGGCATGGTACTGGCAGAAGCGATGGACGTAGCAGCACTAGCAGCAGTGGCATGCCATTAATTGGCGGCGAGCGAGGGGGGGAAATGAGAAGGAGAAGGCCGTCTCAGGCGGCGGGACTTCTCATAGGCCCTCTTGCCTTCTGGGAAATTTGCGACTGTCTTCGGGAAAAGCTTCGGAAACTTTTCAGAAGGCCAGGGGACCTCCGAGACTTCTGAGGAGGCCCGCCCCTTCTCACCTCCCCCCCTCGCTCGCCGCCGAATTAAGGCCGCGAAGACGGCACGGACGACGACGACCACCAGAGGCGACGACAACGACAAATTCAACGAAGACGCCGACGCCGACGCCGACAACGATCAGTCTGGACGGGGACGCACAGACGAACGGCAGCGACGACGACGATGGCAACGACTAGCGGCGACGACATCGAGGAATGGCGGTGACGACAACGACTGGCGGCGTCGACGGATAGTGACAGTACAACTAGAAGAGAGGTGGCATTAGTAGCAGGAACAACCATTTACGCCAAATCGCGGCCCTGGTTATTTGC